TGAATTGTATTTGATGTTGTGTCGTGTTAATGTGTTATGGGTCTCAAATATGAGAAACAGTAACAGTAAGATTATGAAAAATAATTATGAAATTACGAAAAAAGCAACCCAGTCTCATAAAAATACGTGCCTCTAGGTACTTTTCTGCAACACATAACTTACTGCACGTTTCACGGCAGTTTCAAAGTGAAATGTCCAGTGAGTGGCGCTAAAACACAGGTTCAATACGTGACCCTGGCACGTTTTTTATTACGTTGATATCAGGGGCGTGCATCACTGAAGACCGAAGAGCTTTTTTTCTAATTCAGGTGAGGAGTAGGCTTATCTCACTAAATGGAAGCAAGCTGATTATAGTCAGCCTTCCCTAGTTATTTATTTTATTAATAGCCAACTTATTTTAGTTAAGTGCTTAAATTGTAAATATGCATTTATTCAATTATTTTATTTTGTGATTTTGTATTTTGTTGTTTTTGTATATAGTTTTGCAATAAAAGCGTATCAACCAGGTTCCAGAAATAATCACTGAGGGTGCTTCTGAAATTAGTGAGGGTGCTCTAGTCTTAATGCACATTTTCACATATTTTGTCCCGTCTATTGCTATGGTTATCACTATGTCAATCGCTGCTACTTCAAGAGTGAATCCCGCATAAATATGCAGACGTCATTCCCAAAACTTTGCAACGCGTGTGTGGCCGAAAAACAAAGTTCTACATTTTAATTGGATTATAGACTAGAAAGCTTGCAAAGAGTGCTCATAACCACTTCAGGTACATATTGCAGCGGTTCAGAATTCAAATATCCGGGGACTATCACTTAAAGTTAATGCTCTATCGTTTTGGAAATATGCCCTACACCAAACCCAACCCTAAACCTACCCGACAGTGTTAACAAATGCAAAACCGATACAAAACGCACTTGTTGATGCAACCATGCCATTTGAACTTCCTTATATGCAGATTTGAACGGTTTTGTCGAACCGTAATTTCACGGGATTTGTACCGGAGCTCTTTACCTCTCAAGACAAGTGCATCTCTGTACTGCGTGAGCTACCGAACAAACCTACTGCCTATGAAAACCCATACATATGAAGCTGGATATGTGACGCTAAGTTGCTAACATTCAAAAATGTCAGTTTTCAAATATTGCAGCATATATACATTTTATTGAAGTCATAACATAATATTCTTCATGGAATTGTGCGAAAATTACGCATTATTAATCGAAACTGTGGACCTGTAAATCATGCGTTGTGAAAATGAATAAAAGGTGTCGGAGTTTACTGCCTCCAGTGTTCATTTCAACTGGAAACTGCAGTGATTCGTACATATAGGTACGTTTTTTCAGTTTTGCAGAAAAGTACCTAGAGGCACGTATTTCCAATGAGGCTGGCTAAGAAAAAGTCATTATTACGAGAAATCATGCTACAATTTTGCTTAGTCACGCTTAGAAAAAATTGTCACAATTGCAAGTAATGTTATAATTGTGAGATATAAAAACACTGAGAAAATTAGTCGCAATTGCGAGAATAGTGTTGCAATTGTGATATATAAAAATCACACTTTGAGCAAAAAAGTCGCTCAATGTTATAATGTTATAATTATGAGATATAAAATTAAACATTAAGAAAAATAGTCACAATTGTGAGAATTATTGTTACAATATTAAGATATAAAAATCGCATTTTGAGAAAAGTCACAACTGTGCTAAACAATGTTATACCTGTGATATATAAAAACTGCTTTTTCAAAAAATAGTCGTAATTGCAAGAATTATTTTTACAATTATAAGGTATAAAATCACACTTTGAGAAAAGTCACAACTGTGAGAATGTTATACTTGTGATATATAAAAACCATGCTTTTGCGAAAAATAGTCGCAATTGAGATAATTATTAATATAATTTTAAGGTATAAAATCACTTTGAGAAAAGTCACAACTGTGAGACATAATGTTAAACTTGTGGTATATAAAAACCACACTTTTGAGAAAAAATAGTCGCAATTGCAAGATTTAAAGACAAAAATAAATAAATAAATAAAGCCATAACTGTGAGATAAAGTTGCAAACACAAGAATACGTCACAATTACCTTTGTCCTAAGCGGAAACTTTTTTTTTTTTTTTTTTTTACGAGAAATGCAATACAACATGTTAATTTGAAAAGTAACCCCAACAATGGATTCTATTACAATTTTTTTATTTTATAATTGCAGATATGCAGATCATTAGGGTGTGAAAATAGCAAGACCTCTATCTGCAAAAAAATAAATTACAATAATCTAAAGTCCCGGAGGCTTTAAAATGCTATGATATGAGTCATATTCAAAGTCTAATGCTGTTAAAACAATTAAAGCAGCGCCTGAATTAAAATTATGGGAAGTCATTTCCATGTCACTGATTTCATTAGCCATCAAATTCCTGAATAAAGTCCATATGTGTGCTTTCATTATGTGATTTGATTACACTAACATACACAAATGCGCTCTCTCACACACACACACAGAGTTCAGGCATAGCTAATTTAAACGAGCTAATAACTGACAGTCTTTGATCAACGGCACAAGTTCCAAGTTAGCGAACAGGTCACTGTGTAAGACTGTCATTGGGAATTGTCAACAGGTCACTTTGCAGTATGTCAGAGTGTCTTGGGGACTGTCAGCAGTCGGTTGATCAGAACGGGCCATCCCTCCACCCCTAGCTGAGCCAGATGCTCTGCGTCAGTCTATAGGGATCAAGCTGCAGATGTCTCGCCTCCATATTCATCAGGAGACGAGGGTTTGGTGAGCACCGTGCCACCCAGTGGAAGTGGCCCACAGCTGGGTCAGCATGTCCCAGCGTGTCCCTCTAGATCAGGGGTGTCAAACTCAGTTCCTGGAGGGCCACAGCCCTGCACAGTTTAGATGCAACCCTAATTAAACACACCTGATCCAGCTAATCAAGTCATTAAGGCTTATTTGAAAACTACATGGTATGTGTGTTGGAACTAAACTATGCACGGCTGCGGCCCTCTAGGAACTGAGTTTGACACCACTGCTCTAGATCTTCCTTCAGTCTGAGACATTTATCTCTGCTGCTGACAGTCACACCTGTCAGCACTAATGCAAGAGCGGGTGTGATTACCGATTCAAGACAGGAACCACCAAGTGCTTTTGCTAGATGCTTCATAAATGTGCTTTATGTGATCTGTGTCACTGCACAAGGATGTTTAAGCATCTGTGTGTCTGTTTACAACTGGATTTATCTAATAAAAGCAAAAAGACGATCAATTCATTTAACTTTTAGAAAAAAAAAAGAAGAAAAAAAAAAGTTTAGATGCTTCAGAGGTGCCTGAAAAACAAAAAAAGTACCTTAAAAATGAATGAATGAATAAATAAATAAATAAATACATTTTGGTATTATTTTTATTACATTAAAATAATGCTTTTCACATGCTCCAAGTGGCATGAAGACAATAACTAAAAATCATAGTAAAATAAATAAAATTAATAAATAAATTATATTTAGATGCTCCAGGTCTCTAAAAGAAAATACATTTAAATAAAAATAAAAATCACACACACAAAAAAAAATAAAAAAATAAAAAATAATAATATATATATATATATAGATATACATTTTTTGTATGATTTAAGTGTTTCATTTAATAAATTGTGTTCAGATGATCTGAGTGCCTTAAAAACAACAAATACTAATAACAGAAAAATAAATAAATAAAATGAATAAATATTACTTTCACTATCACTTGTTTTTCATTTTTGGATCATCAGAGTCAAACAAACCAACAAATAAACAAAAAAAATCAATATTTTAATATTTTATTCATACTATTTAACATACATTTTTATTAATTGTCTTTTTGTCTCACAAAAGAAAATGTTTCCGTAGAGATATTATGAAAGTGATATTATGAAAACTGTTTTTTTTTTTTATAACGTACACTGGCAAATCAAACAATAAGACAAGGGTATAAGTAAAAAGGCTACGTTTTGATTTCATGTTGCCTTTGAAGCAACTACCAAAAAAAAAAAATTGACATCCTCTCAATCCATATGTGCTCTCCTAGCTCTTTTAACTTTTTGTCTCCTGGCATAACATATGCTTCAGGTAGTGATTCAAGCACTGTCATCCCATCTAACGGTGTCCTCCCCACATACATCCACCCACCCTTATGAAAGTTATATTATGAAAACTTTTTTTTTTTTTTATAACGTACACTGGCAAATCAAACAATAAGACAAGGGTATAAGTAAAAAGGCTACGTTTTGATTTCATGTTGCCTTTGAAGCAACTACCAAAAAAAAAAAATTGACATCCTCTCAATCCATATGTGCTCTCCTAGCTCTTTTAACTTTTTGTCTCCTGGCATAACATATGCTTCAGGTAGTGATTCAAGCACTGTCATCCCATCTAACGGTGTCCTCCCCACATACATCCACCCACCCACACTGAAGCTCCTCAACTCCTCCTCTGACAGGAGGTGTCAAAGCTCAGATGCTCCGAGAGCCTTGAAGATCTGCCAGACTGTACGAGCACACACACACACACTCACAGATTCACTGCTGAATACAAACAAGTAAAAAGGCTACGTTTTGATTTCATGTTGCCTTTGAAGCAACTACCAAAAAAAAAAAATTGACATCCTCTCAATCCATATGTGCTCTCCTAGCTCTTTTAACTTTTTGTCTCCTGGCATAACATATGCTTCAGGTAGTGATTCAAGCACTGTCATCCCATCTAACGGTGTCCTCCCCACATACATCCACCCACCCACACTGAAGCTCCTCAACTCCTCCTCTGACAGGAGGTGTCAAAGCTCAGATGCTCCGAGAGCCTTGAAGATCTGCCAGACTGTACGAGCACACACACACACACACACACACACTCACAGATTCACTGCTGAATACAAACCCAAAGCAGCATCAGATCAGATGCTCAGTTCACAGGTGTGTCGACACACAAGAGCATAAATCTGACTCATTGCGAGTTTTAGTGTGAGACTTACGCAGCTGGTGCAGATGTTTCCAGGCTCTGGAAGTGGGGCAGGCTGTGATCGTGACTAAGGAGCAGGAGTTTCCCGCCAGCGTGTCGCAGAGGTTTTGTTGCCTGAAGAAAACTTTCTGTGGGTCTACAGACTTCTCCAACATTTTCAAATGGGTCTAGAGAAGAATTGTAAATACATTTGCTTTAGTCTTTAGCCATTATGACTAGTGATGCACCAGAATTTTGGTAACCAAATTTTTTTTATTATTATTTTGGAAGGCTGAAATCATAAACATCACGATCCGATAATTGCAAATTGCTTTGTTACTTTTGATATGAAACAGTCTCAGCTTTTAAATTGTTAATTTTATAACAAAATTCACACATAATAATGTGATTTTGATGATCTTCAATGACATTTCTCTGTAGCACCTGAGTTTAAGTGCACATGAACTGATCATCTCTTCCTCTTTACTACTAGTTACAGCACAATAAACATTAATTAAAAACATAATGTATGTTAAAAGAAACAGCACTTACTGATATGTATCATTACTCATATAATGGCTTATATTTACCTCAGCAAAAAAACTGTGATAAATACACACACTATATTCCATATTATTATATTTTTATTTTACTTAACCTATATTATATTTTAATTAACCTGCTGCCTTCATAATTTGCAATAAATATATGCTCTATATTACATATTTATTATATTTTTACTTAACCTGATGTCTTCATTATTGTTTAATGTATGTTTGTATATACTTGTCATGAAAACAAGTCTTTATTATTGAAATGTTTACTTTTTAAAGAAACACAATTTACATTATTAAAGAAAAGGTTATATAAAAATTGCCTTATGTGCAATTTAAATGGTTATATACAACTCAGTTTTTATTTGAGTGTTGATTATTAATTAACTTATAAAATAAATTTTATTTTCAGCTTTGGTTTTCAGTTAAATAAACATGATTTTGGCGTTGCACCATTATTATTGCTTCTAAAATAAAAATCACAAAGTTATGTGATGAAATGTTTTAGCAAATTTGACATCTTATACATTGTGTACAGATTCAACTTTTTCCCGTGGTCTAGCAAATAAAAATAGCAAAAAAATTCAATATCAAATCACAATATTTGTAGAATCATAATTCTTACAAATCACAATACATAGAGTCAGCTCCTGAATATCTTGATATTGATTCTGGAGATAAGTGGGACATCCCGGCCCTAATATTCATACAAAGTGGCTCATATCAAGCACCTGAAGGGTGGTGTAGGTATAAGGGTAGTGGTAGGCCAAGTAGCACACGTCATCTTCATGATGAAAGGTCACCGTGAATGTCAGCGTGTAGAAAGAACTTTTTTTACCTCTTCTAGCACAGAAATGATTTCTGTGGAAGTCAAAACCACAATTAGATTCTATAGGCCTACGTGCAATATCTTGACTAAAGAATAGAATGCATCGAGAAAAAGTGCAGTACAACAAGGAAGTGAAGTACCTGTAATAGCAGATTTCAGAGCCTGTCCGCACCCAGTGTGGTCTGCCCTCCAGCGCCTCCCTAACAGAATACAGCACAGGCTGCATGCCTGAAACATCCCACAATCATACAGTTATAAACCACGTCAAACATTCAGTCATTTAAAGGTCATTCCGTAATTGCTAAACATTCAGGTTGTTAGCTTTTGCACAATATCAATCACCAACACCAAAGAGTTTTTAATGTGGCAATGCCAATTGCAAAAAAGTTTAAAAGTTTAGAGTCAGTAAGGATGCATTAAATTGTTCAAAGGGGACAATAAAGATGTGTAATACATTGCAAAAAAATTATATTTCAAATAAACACTTTAAAACTAATAAGAAATGTTTCTTGAGCAGCAAATCAGTATATTAGAATGATTTCTGAAGCATCATGTGACACTAAAAACTGGAGTAATTATGCTGAAAATTATGCTTTGCCATCAATGCTGAATAAATTCCATTTTAATATAAATTAAAATACAAAATATTTATTTGAAATCGTAATAAAAATTCACAATTTTACAGTTTTTCCTGTATTTTTGGCCAAATAAATGCAGCCTTGGCGAGCATATGAGAGCATATCTTTCAAAAACATTAACAAATCTTACCAACTCCAAAACTAATATTCTCTATATTATATTCAAATTATTTTGAAGCAAGCCATTTCTCTTGATGACAATACTGGTTAAAAAAAAATGACCCTGTCTGTGAAATCCAGGCTCAAAAACTAATTATGATATAACAAGCATCAAAATTTGATTTAAACTATTAATTTCACTATGATTTCAAATCTTTGACATGGCTTTACTCAGTCAGTATTAAAGATATCAAGGTTACATTTTCATAGAATGTTCTTTACCTAATGAAGGATGATTTTATTTAGAAAACAGTAAATCACAAAAACAAAAAAAAGATTTTAGCTGGGTTTTTACAGCTAGGGTCAAAAATATCCTCAAATCAATATCAATCTATAAAAAGCAATCTTGATAACAGGACATTTAGATTTCACTCATTGCAATATGCAAAGTAATTAAGTTCAATTCAAAATAGTTCAACAATATTGTATGAGGAAAGCTAAAATCACCTGAACAGCTTACATTTATTTAAATAAATAAATATTTTCATCTAAAATGACTAAATCTTCTGTTTTCAATGAAATGTTTGGACCTTCCTTTGTTAAAACCAATGTGCTGAACACTGCATTTCTCCAGAACATTGACTCCTAGAGGAAGAAAGGTGCCCTGAAATGCATTCCCTTCAAAGTAGATGTTTGTTGGGACTAAGTTTTACTCGAACTCAAATAAGGTCAACAGTAAAGGACATCTCATTTAATATAGAGACATAAAACACTGACTTCAGGGCAGCACGAGTCTCTTATAATGCCCAGCTGCACACCAAAATGAGGAAAAGGCAGTCAAGGGCCATTGAAAACGCTTTATCGGGGGAGGAACTCAGAAATACTGAAGCACTGTATTTTTCTGGGATATACGGCTGGTGTCAGATTTAAGAGCTGCTTTTTAGCTGGGTTTTTACAGCTAGGGTCAAAAATATCCTCAAATCAATATCAATCTATAAAAAGCAATCTTGATAACAGGACATTTAGATTTCACTCATTGCAATATGCAAAGTAATTAAGTTCAATTCAAAATAGTTCAACAATATTGTATGAGGAAAGCTAAAATCACCTGAACAGCTTACATTTATTTAAATAAATAAATATTTTCATCTAAAATGACTAAATCTTCTGTTTTCAATGAAATGTTTGGACCTTCCTTTGTTAAAACCAATGTGCTGAACACTGCATTTCTCCAGAACATTGACTCCTAGAGGAAGAAAGGTGCCCTGAAATGCATTCCCTTCAAAGTAGATGTTTGTTGGGACTAAGTTTTACTCGAACTCAAATAAGGTCAACAGTAAAGGACATCTCATTTAATATAGAGACATAAAACACTGACTTCAGGGCAGCACGAGTCTCTTATAATGCCCAGCTGCACACCAAAATGAGGAAAAGGCAGTCAAGGGCCATTGAAAACGCTTTATCGGGGGAGGAACTCAGAAATACTGAAGCACTGTATTTTTCTGGGATATACGGCTGGTGTCAGATTTAAGAGCTGCTCGGGCCCACCGCTCTGTCTGAGAGCAATGTGAGGCTAAGATATGATTTAGCTGCTACCACTGTGGCATCTTCTTAAGCTAGCTGTGCTGGTGCCGGTGGGGAAATGTATTTATTTTGAGAGAAGATGGTTGTGTCAAAATCAATGCCATCTAGAACAATCGAAGAACATACATCTTCAATCTTGGTAGGTGGCACTAAAAATAGATATTATAACCCTCATGCAACAAAGTAGAACATGCTCCTGGATCAATCTGGGGTGATTTGAGGTGAAGTATAGTAACTCTGGTGCCTGTAACAATATGTGCTGATCCAAGAACAGGATGTCCTACTTGTGTAAATCACATGGCTTTATAGTAAGTTGCTACTGTATGGCTTACCATAGTTATACTGGCTGTTTCCTTTCTCACAATTGATGATGTTGAAACGATAAGGCACGCCGTCCACCATGCCACTTACTTCAAAATAGAACCATTGACAGTGTGCAGATGAGTTGACATCAGCATTGAGAATCAAATCATATTCATGACTAAGAGAGAGTGCAAAAGAGAGACAGACAGGAGAAAATCAGACAAAGTGGGCGTAAGAGAGAATAGGAGAGAAGTAATGAGAGAGAGAGAGACTGAGAAACGTGTTACGTAAATGACAGAGAGAAATCTCTCACTCCATCCCTATCTGTTGTAACGCCGCCACATTTCATTTGGAAAAATATAACGTCGGCTCTTTTATTTAAGCGCATCGGAACTGCTCTGTAGACAGCATCTTTGATTTGATCTTGCATGCATTGACGGGACAAGCTTGCTGAAAGAGTAGAAACATAAGAACGAGAGAGAGAGTGTGATTGCGAATGCACTACAAATGAGGCCCAAGGGCACTCGGCGAGCTGTCTGCAGTACATGTTTGTGTGTGTGTGTGTGCTTGTGTACGTGTGCTGTATTGTAATGCAAGAGTCTCACCTGCGGACCTGAATGGCTTTTCGCAGGTTCCCGCTCTCAAACTGGGAGAAGAAGCGAAGGGAACTGGGACACATATCGGGGGAACACTGTGGACTGTGGAAAGAAAGAAAGAAAGAAAGAAAGAAAGAAAGAAAGAAAGAAA